TTTCCGTCATAAAAAAACGGCCGCCATTTTGAATTTTCAAAAAAACCTACTTTTGCGAACTCGTCCTAGACGGTTTGTCCGATTTTCACCAAAATCGCACCGGATCATCTCCAGGCAGTGCTGACAAAAAGTTATGGAATTCAAGATGATTCGAATAACCGTTTTCGATAAACGCGTAAACAAAATTTACGTAGCGCTTGCGAAAACAGACGTGAGGTTGTATCTCCGCAACGCTTACTCGTTTTCACACCAAACTTGGTACGTGTTATCACAAGCATGACCTGAGGCTACGTGCTGCGTTTCGGCGCAGCGCCACCTAGTGGTCCGGAGATATGAAAAATGGCTATTTTTGCTCGTAACTTCTGAACGATTTCTCCAAAAATCAAAAACTTGGTCTCGTTAGATTCAGGGCGTCATGCCGAGTCGACTGATATCCAATTTTCCCAGATCGGCCATTTTGGCTGTCGGCCATTTTGAATTATGTGCTAAAATGCTGTATTTTTTGAACGCATGAACGAATTGTTACGAAACTCGGTATGGGTCATCAGTACGATGCCCTGAAGAAGCCTGAGAAGTTTCGAAACAGCGCCACCTAGTGGTGAATTGTTTTATTCAAGCGCTTATAACTTTGGGTGTGGTACACTTATTTTCACGGGAGTCATATTTTTGAGGTCCTGAATCGTTGCCGAGTCCAACGATACCAAATATGTCGGGTTTCGTCTCACGGATGGCGTAGCGTAGCGATTTAGCGCGAAAAAAACACTTGGCGATATCTTCAAAACCGCTGTTCCGATCGAGACGAAACCACCGCCAGAAACACGGAATCATAGCTTGTTAACTATACGCTAATGCCCAAATGCGTAAATATTGATAGTAAGGGGTAGTAAAATTCAAACAAAGTCATGTGTCAGTCATTTTTTACGTGTTTTTTCATATAAATGTTTATAACTCGGAAGTAAATTGAGATATTTGCACCAAAATTGACACACATATGTATGGGGTCACTCTGAGGACACATAAAAAAAATTGTGGGACTGAGCCTCTTGGTGGCGCTATAATAGAACAAAACGTGAAATTCCCATTGACTTCAATAGAGTTTTGTGAATTAAAATGCTATACTAAACAAATGCATTGGTGTAATATTACAAAACTCAGTGTGTGCCATAAGCAGCATGCCCTGAAGGTACTCAAAAGATTTTGAGACAGCGCCACCTGTTGGTCAAAAGTTATAATTAATTTCTGAGAACGCTAATAACCTTTGAATAAATTTGCCTATTGCAATGAAACTGATCTTAATATATTCCTTGGGTTATGCTGAAAACATAGATATCAGGTTTTTGCATAATCAGACAAACTTCCTGTTCGCCATCTTTATTTCTTTGAAAAGCCTTCTTTTTCGAACTCCTCCTAGACCGTTTGTCCGATTTTCACGAAAATTGAATCGTATCATCTCCAGACCGTGCCGACTAAAAGTTATGAATTGCACGATGATAGACAAAACCGTTTTCGTATATCACAGCATCAAAGTTTAGGCATGCTGCCAAAATTACTATTTAGGCTTTATCTCTGCAATGCCTTCACATTTTGACACCAAACTTTGCATGTCATTGTCACCTCACTCTGACCACATCACATCTATTTCGTAACTGCGCCACCTATTGTTCGAAAGTGATAACCCATTAAATCATCTTATAAGTTAATGTTTATATGATTTTCTTAGCCATTTGCCCAAAGTTCTCTCAAAATGCCCTTAATTGCTCCTTGCTGCAGTTGGTCTGCCACTCCTTGCCATTTTGGCATATGTTGCCGCTTCTTGCGCTTGGCCCCGGTAATGGCTGCTTGCAGCTATATTTATTATTATTATTCTTCTTCCGACTGGGCGTCTATGGCAGCCCATAGACCGGTTTGCGGGAAAGTTGTTTTGGTTTGACATTCTGATAGAGGACAGTCCCAACTTTAAATACACCAATTTTGGTGTCTCTAACTCATTCCCTCTAGCGCCACCAACTGTCCAAAGTTGCACTTTTATTATGCTAATAACTTTTGAACCGTAAGGCCTATCAACAAAATTCTTTTTCCCTCTTGTTCCTGAGCTCATGCCGATTCGATAGCACCCTATGACGTCATTTTCCGTCATAAAAAAACGGCCGCCATTTTGAATTTTCCAAAAAACCTACTTTTGCGAACTCGTCCTAGACGGTTTGTCCGATTTTCACCAAAATCGCACCGGATCATCTCCAGGCAGTGCTGACAAAAAGTTATGGAATTCAAGATGATTCGAAGAACCGTTTTCGATAAACGCGCAAACTAATTTACGTAGCGCTTGCGAAAACAGACGTGAGGCTGTATCTCCGCAACGCTTATCTATTCAGACCAACTTGGTACATGTTATCACAAGCATGACCTGAGGCTACATGCAGCGTTTCGGCGCAGCACCACCTAGTGGCCGGAGATATGAAAAATGGCTATTTTTGCTCGTAACTTCTGAACGTTTGTCCAAAAATCATAAACTTCATCTCGTTAGATTCAGGGCATAATGCCGAGTCGACTGATATGCAATTTTTCCAGATCGGCCATTTTGGCTGTCGGCCATTTTGAATTATGTGCTAAAATGCTGTATTTTTGAACGCATGAACGAATTGTTACGAAACTCGGTAATGGGTCATCAGTACGATGCCCTGAAGGAGCCTGAGAAGTTTCGAAACAGCGCCACCTAGTGGTGAATTTTTTTTTCAAATGCTTATAACTTTGGGTGTGGTACACTTATTTCACAGGGAGTCATCTTTTTGAGATCCTGAATGTTGCCGAGTCCAATGATACAAACATGCTGGGTTTCGTATTACGGTTGGTGTAGCGTAGCGATTTAGCGTGAAAAAAAACACTTGGCGATATCTTCAAAACCGCTGTTCTGATCGAGACGAAACCACCGTCAGAAACACGGAATCATAGCTTGTTAACTATACGCTAATGCCCAAATGCGAAATATTGATAGTAAGGGGTAGAAAATTCAAACAAAGTCATGTGTCAGTCATTTTTACGTGTTTTTTCATATAAATGTTTATAACTCGGAAGTAAATTGAGATATTTGCACCAAAATTGACACACATATGTATGGGGTCACTCTGAGGACACATAAAAAAAATGTGGGACTGAGCCTCTTGTGGCGCTATAATAGAACAAAACGTGAAATTCCCATTGACTTCAATACAGTTTTGTGAAATACAATGCTATACTAAACAAATGCTTTGGTCTAACATTAAGAAACTCAGTGTGTGCCATTAAGCAGCATGCCCTGAAGGGCATTTTGAGACAGCGCCACCTGTTGGTCAAAAGTTATAATTCATTTCTGAGATTGCTAATATTTGAATAAATTTGCCTATTGCAATGAAACTGATCTTAATAGATTCCTTGGTTATGCCGAAAACATAGATATCAGGTTTTGCATAATCAGACAAACTTCCTGTCGCCATCTTTATTTCTTTGAAAAAACTTTCTTTTTCAAACTCCTCCTAGGACCGTTGTCCGATTTTCACGAAAATTGAATCGTATCATCTCCAGACCGTGCCGACTAAAAGTTATGAATTGCCACGATGATAGACAAAACGTTTTCGTATACCACAGCATCAAATTTAGGCATGCTGCCAAAATTACTATTTAGGCTTTATCTCTGGCAATGACTTCACATTTTGACACCAAAACTTTGCATGTGTCATTGTCACCTCACTCTGACCACATCACATCTATTTCGTAACTGCGCCACCTATTGTTCG